TTCAGTTGTCATGATTTCATTAAGCAATTAACGTCTAAAGGCAATTTGGTAAAACTAAATCACATATTTTCCTGTGTAGTTTCCCTTTCCAATGTTCTCGAGCTCAAGTACACAATGTTTTTTTTTTTCTTCAAGACAAGGTCTCATTATGTAGCCCTGAGTGGCCTAGAACTCAGAGAGGCACCCGCCCCTGCCTCCCAAGTGCTGGGATTAAAGCACTCGTGTAACAGCAACCAGCTTCACATCCACATTTTTATTTAGTATTATTCCCCTTTCATCTGAAGAATATAAACATTGTAGCGTGATGTACAAGTGCTGAACTCTTTCATCTTTAGGGAGCTGGAAAAGCCTTTATTTTGACTGCATTTCCAAGAGATACATTGTCATTTGGTAGTTGTGCAGAGCTTTGCTCGTGCTAGGATCTACCACTGAGCCATATCCCAGCCTCGGAAAGTTTCCCCTTTGTTTCCATACTTTAAAGCTGTCCCTTGCCCACTATCTTCTCATTTGGCTTTATGTGGTCTGACATTGTCTTTATCCTTTGCTCCTCAGTACAGAGTGTGTCTTTTTTTTTTTTCCTGATTTCTAGCAGTAGTAGTTTCTGTGTGAGCAATTTGATTAAGCAATGGGTTTGTCTTGCTCTTGTAAACACCATGGGTTCTAACTGGCTTGCTCCTTCAGTGGTTGTCAAGAACATGAATCTGCCATAACCATCACCCTGTCCAAAACTCAATTCCAAATGGGTCAAGGACCTCAACATAAGACCAGATACCCTGAATCTGGTTAAAAGAAAGTAGGAGATAGGCAATCCCAGCACTCAGGAGACAGGCAGGAGGACCTCTAAGTTTGAGACCAGCCTGGTCTACAGAGTGAGTTCTAGGACAGCCAGGGTTACACAGAGAAATCCTGTCAGGAAAAACCAAAAAAGAAAAAAAGAGGAAATAGTCTTGAACTCTTTGACACAGGAAAGGGTTTTCTAAACAAGACATTGATGCCATAGGCAGTAAGATCAACAATTAATAAATGGGACTTCATGACACTAGAAAGCTTTTGTACAGCAAAGGACACCATCATTTGGACAAAGTGGAAGCCTACAGAATGGAAAAGCCTAGTAATTAATTATACATCTGATAAGAGTTAGATAGCTAGAGTATATAAAGAACTATATAAAAATGATTATCAAAGCAAATAATTTAATTTCAAAATGGGGTATAGAACTTAATAAGGTTTTCAAAAGATAAAACGGAAGTGGCTTGAAAACACTTCAAAAAGTGTTCAACATCCTTAGCTGTCAGGGTAATTCAAGTTAAAAATACTTAGAGATTTCATCTTGTCCCAGTAAGAATGGCCAACATTAACAAAAACAAATGACAGCACATACTGGCAAAGGATATGGGGAAGGAAGAACACTTATTCATTGCTTGTGGGAGTGCAAACTGGTACAACCACTATGGAAATCAGTGTGGGGGTTCTTCAAACGCTGAAAATGGAGCTACCACAAGATCCAGCTATTCCACTCTTGGGCATGTACCAATGGATTGTACATCTTACCACAGAGACCTTGCTCATCTGTGCTCATTGTTGCTCTACTCATAAGAGCCAGAAACTGGAAACAGCCTAGATGTCCATCAATGATGAATGAATAATGAAAAGTTGTAGCTTTATCCAATAGGATATTATTCAGCTGTTAAGAAAAATGGAATTTGCAAGTCAATAGATGGAGCTAGAACAAAATCCTGAGTGAGGTAACCCAGACACAAAAAGACAAGCATTGTGTGCTTTCTCTTGTGTGTTGATGTTGGCTTTTAAGTTTTAGATATGTGTGTTCCAGTATAACTGAACAGGCTGGGCAGGTAGTGAGGGACCAGGAAAGAGGAGATCTTCCAAAGAAGGGGAAAAAAGAGTATAGATTTATGTAGCTATAAAAGAGAAACTAGAAGCCGGGTATGGTGGCACATGCCTTTAGTCTCAGAGGCAGGCAGATCTCTGTGACTTGGAGGCCAGCCTATGTAGTGAGTTCCAGGACAGCCAGAACTAGTGAGATCCTGTCACCTCCACTCCCAAAAAAGAAAATCAAAATGACGGGGAGGACTGAGGAGGATTAAATGGAGAGGAGGGTGAGAAATTAGTGTAAGAGGAGGGTGAGAAATCAGTGTAAGGAAGAAATAGAGGGAGAGACAATGAACACAGAAGCACTTAAGGCCTTTTGAAGAGCCATGTGGAAACCATATATATATATATGTATGTATGTATATATACATATATATATTTAACTTCCATGCATATATATGGAAGTTAAATGAAGTCATCATACAATGGGGAGACAATGCCCCACTAGACATCTTATGCTACCAGGTAAAACCTCCAATGCCAAGAAAAAGTTACTTACTGTTGCATTATTGGTCAAGGAAGTCCCATAACACACTACAACTCCCAAAATCACAGGCTGTTGCCAAGACTGCTGGTTGTTTTCCATAACCAGATAGTAAGACCCTGAAGTTGCTGAAGATACAATCTATTTATGTCATTGAACATGAAAAAAATGAGCTGGTACCCAACTGGAAGCTCCACACCTATTGACTAGTGTTCATGGTGCTGGAGGGTCCTTTGCATGCTACCAGAGAAACAAAGTCAGCATTAGTATCACGTAGCTGCAAATTCTGTGACCTCCAACAGACTGGCCTGCAAGATGTACCCACACTGTAGTGGCACAGATATTACGGACAACCAACCGCTTTTTACTTGGATTTAAAGCCTACTCTATGAGATGCAATCCGTACCTGATACTGCTGAGGTGGCCAAGAAGCTGAGACTAGATAAGTCATGGGCCTACTGCTATTACTCGGCTAAAGGAACATAGTGATAAAATGGTTTCTAATGACATGTTGCTATACCCATAGACCAAAGCATTGCTCACTAAAGAAGAGTCTTCTTGCAGTAAATTAGAGCTGATCCAGAGACACCTGGACCATGAGGAGAGTCAGAGACCTTGGAGCACTTAAGCCCAGATGGTTGTCTGTATAAAATCCTTCCCCTCAAGGCTCAGGGTTCTATTCAGATGAGGAGGCAGAAAGATTGTAAGAGCCAAAGGTGGTGGATGAGCCAAAGGAAACAGTGTCTTCCAGACACAACAGGACAGTTATTCATAGGAACTCACAGAGACTGTGGCAGCATACACCAGACCAATGCAGGTTCAAGGCAGACAGGGTACTAGTACAGAGAAGGGGACATAGATCAGGGATCCGGCCCCAACCAAGAATTATTTGTAGCTGATACCTGCTGGGAAAGGGAAAATCAGTTTGTTTGTTTGAAATGAGTGTCACTGGGTTTATCAACCACAGTCCTGGGCAGCCAACACAAAATGGACTCCGTGTAATTGTTTATGCTTTTCTTGTTTTTGTTTTTGCTTTTTGACTTAGCATGGTTTGTTTGTTTATCTGTCTGTTTGTTTGTTTGTTTGTTTTTGGTGGGGGAGTGGAAATCGTTTTGTTCTGTTTTCCCAAGATAGGGTTTCTCTGTATAGCCTTAGCTGTCCTGGAAATCGTTCTCTAAACCAGGCTGACTTTGAACTCAGAGATCTATCAGTGCTGTGCTAAAGGCAGGTGCCAACTTCTGCCTTTATTTTCATCTTTTTAAATTTATTTTGGGTTTCATTTTTGGTTTGGTTTTGTTTTCAAGAAAAGACATACGGTTGTGTTGTACCAGGAAGTGTGTGTGAACCCCAAAAGACCACCAAGGGGCTGACTCCAATGCAATCTCACTAGTGTCTTTATTCAAGTTCGAGCTGGGCAACACCACCATCTCTGAAGCAGCAGAATGGGAAGGTGAAGCCCAGAGCTCTCAGCAGGAATAGGCTTTATAAGAAATGTGGTGCAAGCCCAGGAGTTTCAACCTGGCAAGCATCTAAAAAATGAACAATCACAAAAGATCTGAAAGTACATCTAAAACAATCAGACTTATCTTGGATTGACTGTTGCTAGGAAGTAGCTAGGGAGTAACTATGAGGTATGGGTCAAGGACAAGCCATGGGGTCCTTCCTGGCACTTGGGTACAGCCTAGGTTCAGCTATAGGTCAAGTTTCTCTTAAGATGGAGACCGGTCCCAAGATGGAGTAGGTTAGGCCTCTCCATTGAATAGGTAGGAAGGACCTGGGAGGACTTGGGGAGGTGAAAGGTGATGATCAGAGTATATTGTATGGAAAACTTGTAATAAAAGAAAACCTGGGAGGGGAGAAGGGAACATGGCTCTACATTACTGCTCCATCCATGAATCCTATGCTCAGTCATCTTCGAGTCTGACGGCATGCTGGATTTTGTTGCCACGGTCTTATACATCTTTTACTAAATTCTCATAATCAATTTAAGATCATCATTAAAAGAACATTTTCTTTATACCAGTCACATTGTAGAGAAAATATTAATAATTCCTCCATCTGTCAATCCCATCTCAGAGTTAATGGCTAGCCCTGGTGCTGAAACCTCTATACTTCTTCATTGCTCACAGAGACATGTCTAGAAATAAAAGTGAACTTCCTTTACAAGACCTTTGCCAGAAAGGGTAGAGTACCAAACTGTTAAACAAGCCAGGCAGTGGTGGTACATGCTTTTAATCCCAGCACTCAGAGGCAGAGGTAGGTAGATTGAGTTCAGCCTAGTCTACAGAGCTAGTTCCAGTACAGCTTGGGCTACACAGAGAAGCCTTGTCTTGATAAACAACAATGAAAACAAACACAAACAAACAAACAAATAAAAAAAGCCAAAAAAGTTAAACAAGTGGAAATATTTATTGGTGACAATAACTGAACAGACTTATAGAGAAGGCATTCAGTCTTACATTCCTAAGCGTGAATTTGGTGGGTCAGTGTGGTGGTGTGTGTTTCACCTTTGATGGCCGTATTTGAGGCTCCCATAGAAGACTGTTGCTATAACTCAAACCTCCGCACACCCACCACACTCTAACACCTGCGTTATACAGCCATCGTGCAAAAAGATGTTTTGACCATGACTGTTTTGCAGATTATCAAAGACCTACAGTTGCTGGGGTTGGTGGCAGCCCTGGTGGTGGCTGATGTAATCCTGCTCGTGACATGGGTGCTGACTGATCCCATCCAGTGCCTTCAGATCCTTGGTGTCAGCATGAAGGTGAGAGGCTGCCTATCCCTGGGCAATCTGATCCCTTACCTGGGCTGGCTTCTGTGATATGCAGGGTCATCATCTCAGCAGCATCTACTGAGAGGCTGTTCCAAAGAGAAGTCATGGGCAGTGGCTGCTCTGAGCACCTTGACCCTTGTCTGGAAGCTGTGCTGCCACCCACAATGATCCTTGTGCTCCCAATCGTCTCGTGGGCGTCCTCCCAGATGTCAGTGCACAGGGAATCTGTCTGCAGTTCTCTCTGCTTGCACAGTCACCGAGGAGAACTTTCAGCTCTAAGGAGTTGCCTTCCCCTCCCTGTTGAGAGGCAAAGGTGATGTCATGCAACTGTAGTTCAAATCCCAGGCTGCTATCAGTCATGTCCCTAGGGAAAGCTGTACAACTAAGTCTCCTTTCCAGAGAGAGGAGTAACTTGGAGATAACAATCCTGCCTCTTTCCCTAGGTTCAGGTGAACTAGGAGAAATAATTCATTTAAACAGACTCAGGAATACAGTAGAATCCATATCAGAAGGAGCAGTGAATAAGAATTTGGCTGTTTGCTAATAATGGTTCCTGGTGTGAAAAACTGTAACTTTGTTGCGGAGCTTTTGAAACCACCCGGGTAACAAAGCGCATGCCCTCGAGTAAGTCCTGAAGCCGCCCAGCATCTGCTAGCCGCCCACCTTTCTCTCCCTTCCCTCCGCTCAGGCACTCTGGTTTTAGGTTCTTACAGAGTCGCCTACATATTTCCGTTTCTACATACTAAAAAGGGAAACTCTATGTGGTGGAGGAGTTCACACTCCAGGGAAGTTCACAGAGCTCTGCTGTGTGGTCCCAGGAATTTGAATGCCTTTGGTTCTGACCCGGTGTCCCTCACAGGTGACAGGGAGAGATGTATCCTGCTCTTTGACCAACACACACTTCTGTGCTTCACGATACTCCGATGTCTGGATTGCCCTGGTTTTGGGATGCAAGGTTGGTAACTACACCTCCTCAGTTTACAGTCTGTCTCCAACAAAATGGGTTTGGAAAGAGAATTAGGGAATTAATGAGGTGTGTTCATGGATGGTGACAACAGAGAATGCTGAGCTCAGAGCCCACCTGGGCTCTTGCAGAAGCCCCAGAGCTGTGAACCTTTTGTTTCTCTACTGTATATATTCGAAGGATTTACATTTATAGCTCCCCAAGTGCTTGCATTCAGTCTGCCCACAAATCACTGGGGTTTCAGTTTCTCTCCTATTATGGTCTGTTTTTCTGGTTGGGGAGTGGGTGTTCGGGGTAGGGGGTATTTGTTTTCTGAGGGTCTTGCTATGTAACTTTCATTGATCTTATTGATTGTGTAAGCCAGGCTGGCCTTGAACTCACTTTGTGAGCCATTGTAACTAGCTCGGGAGTATTTTTTTTTTAAATGAAGAATCCAGGAAGCAAACAGCCATTACTTAATTGTATTCCAGAAATGGATAGAAACCTCAAACGCTACAGAATGGGGCTGAACTCTGCCCTGACCCCTTTCTACCTGAACCCCAACCTCATCTAACCTCTCAGACACATAACCCTCTCAGCTAGAGACAACGATGACAGACCCTTAGAGCTGCTCTCAGCTGCTCAGAACTCACACATGAGAGTTTCCAGCCACTCCTGTCCTTACTAATGGCTCCAGAATCTTATTCGTGTTTGGCTTCTATCCCTGGACGGTTCTGAAGCATCAGGTCATCTCAGTTCTTAGCTCCCAGAGTGTATTGTTCCCCCCTCCCCCGCCCAGCCTGCACCCAGCCCAGCCTTCCTCTATTTCGTCCACTGCCTTCTGCACATTCTCACTGGACCTTTTATCCTCCACTATTACAGTGATATGGATAAAGAAGAAGTTCTTGGGCATCAGAACACTAGCTGAGCCAACCTCTGCGGCCCCTGCCAGCGAGGAGCTCCTGGGTGGGACCGAGCCCCACCTCTACCCTTGCAAGGGAGATACAGTAGCTTTCCACACACCCCTTTCTAGCAAGAATCTTTTTTTTTTTTTTTTTTTTTGGTTTTTCGAGACAGGGTTTCTCTGTATAGCCCGGGCTGTCCTGGAACTCACTCTGTAGACCAGGCTGGCCTCGAACTCAGAAATCCGCCTTCTAGCAAGAATCTTAATGGGATTGAACTTTTATTAAAATCATATTTAACATTTTCAGAATCACAGAATTAATCCTATTCACCATTGATAAAACTAATTATGATCCAATTGCCAAATGCTGCTGGATGGTATCAATTACCTGGGAGTCAGGCCCCACTGGCCCCGCCTTGTGTCCTTCTACTCAGCGAAGATCCCAAGGTGACTGGATTTGACCCTCCATCCTCCTCTGGAACACTGTGTCAGAAATACCTCTGCCACACTGACTCCTCACTCTCCACCACAGCCAAAGGCTCAAAAGTCACCCCTGCCTGCGGGTGGTGCTGGCCAGGTCATGTGATCTGAGTCAACAGGACACCTGGCCTGACTTTCCATAGTCTCTGGAATCCCCCTGGCTCTCAGCCTTACCTCATACCCAATGGCATCTACACATTCCAGTCATGAACAGGGCGTGGCTTGCCTTCCTCCAGCCTCCCTATCAGCCAGGCCTACTGCTCTGTGGTGGTGTTGCTCTCATGATGTTATTTGCTGTTGTTCTGAGTCAGGGTCTGTCTTAGGATTTCTAAGACAGTGATGAAACATCATGACCAAAAAGCAGGTTGGGGAGGAATGGGTTTATTTGGCTTAAACTTCCATATTGTTGTTCATGAATGAAGTCAGTTGGGACAAAAACTCAAAACGGGGAGGAATCTGGAGGTAGGAGCTGATGCAGAGGCCATGGAGAGGTGCTGCTTACTGGCTTGCTTCCCATAGCTTGCTCAGCCTGCTTTCTTATAGAACTCAGCGCAGGGATGGCACCACCCACAATGGACTGGGCCCTCCTCCATCAATCACTAATTAAGAAAATGCCTTACAGCTGGATCTTTTTTTTTTAAAGATTTATTTATTTATTATATATGAATACACTGTAGCTGTCTTCAGACACACCAGAAGAGGGCATCAGATCTCATTACAGATGGTTGTGAGCCACCATGTGGTTGCTGGGATTTGAACTCAGGACCTCTGGAAGTACAGTCACTGCTCTTAACCACTGAGCCATCTCTCCAGCCCTTACAGCTGGATCTTATGGAGCCATTTTCTCTGCTGAGGTGCCCTCCTTTCAGATAACGCTAGCTTGTGTGTCAACTTCACGTAAGACTAGCCGGCACAAGGTCTCACTGTGTAGCCCAGATTGGCTTCAAACTCACAGCAATGCCTCAATCTCGCCACTGTGGGATGATGGCTGGTCATCCATCAGGCCCCAAAGTGAATGTCCTTGGTAGCAACAGTTTGCAGCGTAGTACTTTGAGCAAGTTAGAAAGGCTAGTGTGTGCAGAGTCATATGTATACTGAGTGTTGCCGATGAAAGCTCTGATGTCTATATGCACACAGCTGCCTCTGGGGAAAGCAGCACTACTGGATACTGTGTTGTTTTCTCCCTAATAGAGAATGGAGAAGGTAGGTTTATGTTTGTAAAGAGAGGAAAGAGCCGGGCCCCAGTTCCTTGTGGTAGAGGCGGGGAACGTCACAAAGCAGTTCAGATAGAGCCCCTGCTCCCTGTGCCTCCCCGCCCTGTTGCTGGGGGCCCAGCCTGCCTTTGTTCTCCTCTTTTCCCATCTTTCGTCTCCCAGAAACCCCCCATTGCAAAGAGCCACCCACAGCCTACTGAGTTCTTTGTGTCGAATAGAAAACAGCATCCATCCTTCCAGGCAGATGCACGCAGTCTTGCAGGTGCAGAGCCTGGCAAGCAGATGGTGCCTTTGAGCACTCTGGGAAAACAAATAAGTCCCCTCCCTCTGGCACTGCCCTAGTGCAGCACAGGACTGGACAAGCAGCTCACGGGTCACTTTCAGTTCCCACGTGCCACTCAGCCGCACTCACTGCCAAGCCATAATGGATATGAGGCACCCCCCCACACACACACATATACACCGGCAGGAGCCGGCTCAGCTGCGCTCCCAGTGCCCACTGGAGTTCTGTGGAACTCCTAACCACATCCACACCCTGTGCCCTCTCCCAGAAGAACGTTGCGTTATCTGATGTCTTTTTTTTTTTTTAAAGATTTATTTATTTATTTTATTTATGAGTACACTGTAGCTGTCTTCAGACACACCAGAAGAGGGCATCGAATCTCATTACGGATGGTTGTGAGCCACCATGTGGTTGCTGGGATTTGAACTCAGGACCTCTGGAAGAGCAGTCAGTGCTCTTAACCGCTGAGCCATCTCTCCAGCCCCGTTATCTGATGTCTTATTTGCCAACCTCTCATAAACCATTCTTAGTAAAGGACAGGAAGTGACATTATTCAGAAGCCATAGGTGTAAGGATTTGGCTCCTGGCTTCTTGCGTTGTATCTTAGCGGAAGCTCACAGCAAATCTTTAGGCAGATATTATTAGCCCAGATGAGGACACTGGCCCCAGTGGTACCGCTTTGACCTGTGGTCCCCCTTTTCTGTGCCTCTGGTCCCTGCTCTTCCTGCAGGGGCTGCTGCTGCTGTATGGTGCTTACCTGGCTGGCCTGACCAATCATGTCAGCTCTGCTCCAGTGAACCAGTCCTCAACCATCATGGTCGGGGTCAACCTCCTGCTCCTCACTGCTGGGCTGCTTTTTGTGGTCACCAGATACTTGCACTCCTGGCCCAACCTGGTCTTTGGACTCACATCTGGAGGTATCTTCGTTTGCACAACCACTGTGAACTGCTGTGTCTTCCTTCCCCAGGTATGCTCGGAGTCCTGGGCAGGGGTCTTCATGGGGCAAGATGGATGGTCAGAAGAAAGGGCTGGGACCCCTCTACACCTCCTCAGTGCCTAGGAGAAGACAGTTCTGCTCCCTAGTCAGGACAAAGATGGCTACCATGATGGGATCTGTCTTTTGAGGTGACCTCACCCCTGCCTCCCACTGAGCCCCCACTCTGACTGATCCCTTCTGTGTCCTTTTAGTCCTTGAGATAGTTGTTTTTTCACTAGTCTGAGAGAAAATCCTTTTTTTTTTTTTTAATGTCTCAATACATCGCTCTGGAACTTATTGTGTAGCCCAGGCTAACTTAGAAGAGAATAGCGTTTTTCTTTCTAAATTGGGATTGCAGGTTCATAGAAAAACATCTATTTCATGACATAGAGTGATTTTCCTAAGCCAGGTGTGATGGTATGACCCTGTAATCTCAATGCCCGGGCAATGGAGGCAGGAGATAGGGCCATCCTTGGCTACACTGAAAGCTTTTCCTTTCTTCTTATTGGAGGGAAACACAGAATCTCCTTTTATATGAAAGGAAGAAATCTTAATGTATTTCCTGTTGCAGAGGTTAAGAATAAAATCAATAAAGGAGAGTGGAAGCAGAGATATCTCCCCAGGCATAGAGAGGTGGGCAGAAGCCCTTAAGCCTAGGGGAAAGCTCTGGTGGTTATTTCTGAGGTGATGGGCTGCAGGCTCTCATCCATCATGTTAATGATCTAGCCACTGGATGCTTTCTTTTTCCCTCCTACTCTTCTTTTCTTCCCCCTGAGGCTAGCCCCATTCTGATCCTCCTTCCTGGGGTGAAAACTAATGATTCATTCCACTGCTGACAGATAGAAGGTTACAGTCAACTTCAGGCCACATAGGCATGCCAGTCTCCTTTCTGCTCACTAATACTCAACAAAACATTCGACCAAATATACACATGGGGGTGGCCCCCCCCGGGGTGTTGAGCATCTACAGGAGTCTCTGCTGCTGGGTGCAGCCTCTGCATCACAACCAGAGTAACTTTTGCAGCATCTTGTCTTGTAGAAGCTGGGCTGAAGAAGGCCCCTGGGAATAGAGGCTCATTGTCTGGGATGCCAGGAGAATGGGGGTGGGGGATGGGAGTGGAGGTGGGGGAAAAGGGTGGGGGAGGGGGTGGGAGTGTCCTTCCTGGGAGACTGGAGGCAAAGAGAAACTTTTGGGCTGCCTAGCTTTCTTTCCTAGATCCTTTCTTTTCTTGTTTACCTTAAGAACTAGGCATTTGCTCTGTCAGCCTCCCTTATAGCTAGAGGTGACTCCCAGAACATCAGTTGGAACACTAGAGCTTGCCTAGAAGGCTTCTGAGAGACAGACTTTGTACTGTCCTGAAACAAACAAACAAACAAAGCACGTCCCTTTTATTTTCTCTCTACTTGAATATATGTAATGTATGATAGCAGCCAGCTTATGATCAATAAACTATATTTATTACACTAGGAGACATAGCTCCTTCCATGTAAGGGTATACATTCAGGAGGAGAGGACTCTTAAGGAAAACCCACAGGTACAAAAGTGACCAAGCATCTGAAAATTTGGTGACGATGCCTTCTTCCTCAGTAGAAAATGTTCCAAGATATTTATTTCACTCGGTCAATAAGATTCCAAGGACATTGCCTCTTTTCAGCAAAAGCAAACCACAAGGCTTAGATGATGAAATATTGAACACGGATTTAAAAAAAAATGTTAGATTGAAATGAAGCATTGGATAGGCAGTTTGGACACTACAAAAATATGGAGCTAACAAATTAAGGAAACAAAAGATAGATAAAAATAAGAGACAAAATAAAAATATAAAGAATATGAAGAATCGGTCTAGGGGAGGTTCATAGAGAATAGCAGTCTGTGACGGACGGGGAGGGAGAGAGAAGGAGGGAAAGAGGAAGGGAAAGGGCAAGGGAGGGAGGAAGAAGGGGAGAAAGAACTTATCACCAAGAAATTTTAAAGGAAAGGCTTTCTGATTTGAACAACATGTCCTTTGAAAATGAAAGGAATCCACAACCTCCCTGGATGGTCCTAGTTTGGATTTCTACTCCTCACTCTAACCCCTTGCGTCCTGAGCCTCAGACACAAGCTTTCTGTTTCCTCTGCAGCAGCGGCGGCGTTTGAAATCCTTCAGCTGCGATCAGCAGATTGACTTCTGACTCTCAGAACTCACCTACAGTTGCCAACTGCGCAGAAAAGGGCGTGGGGAGGGAACTGCTTTGAGTCCTGGAATGTGGT